AGTAGCCCTCTTTCTGTTCCTTACATTCTATCCAGGATACCCACCCTTAGGAAGCATTCATACCCAAGGTGAGACACTCTTAATCCCAGCATCACACCATGAATCAATCCCAGCATCACACACTCTAGTTCCAGCTACCTGCAAAAAAGTCTCCACCTATGACTGCATGAGGCTTTGGGCTGGGGAGGACATCTAGAGACAAGCCACAACACTTCAGTATGGAAAATGTGTTTAACTCAATACTATAGGGCCAGTGACATAGCTCAACAGCACAGTGATTGCCTGGCAAGTGTGAGGCCCTGAGTTCCATTTCCAGTACCAAAACAAAAGCAAAAACAACAACCAAAAAAACCCAAAAAACAAATACTGTGAATACTGATAAAATATCAAGTGTTGGTAAATGTTAATATGTATTGAAAACCCAGGAAAACTGATATCATGATGCATCTCGACTTTCTCGGTTGTGGTCAAATATTTACTTAATTACGGTAAAAGAAACAAGACTTTCTGAACAGAAAAACATATGAGTGAGAACTGTTTGGCTGCCCCAAAGGGGACTCACCAAGCAGCTGGCCTTTTTTGTCATCATTTTTTATACAAAGCACAACTTGCAGGAATATTATTTCTACTTAATGTACTTTCGTTTTTTCGCAGGAGTTCAGACCCTCCCCATCTCTCACCTGAAGTAAAATACAATTGTCTCCTAACTATCTAGCCCCCTAACTATCTAGCCCTATTTCCTTCAGATTTTGGCAGCTGTTTTATAACATAGGATGCGCCTCAACCATGGCCCTGAGCACACTGCTTCTGACTCACCAGTTTTCAGACTCCCCTATGGGGGTTAAATGTCAGCCTTTACCTCCCTCACATTGTCACCTCTCACTCCCAAGCATGAAAGCTGTTTCCAAGCACATGTCCTACACTGGAGTCTTATATACATTCATATACACATACATACTCTCCACATATGTGCATACACTTATGCACACACACGTATACACAATTACTCTGACACATACACATTCCTACAGCCTGTAGGCACCTCCTCTCCTGCACAAAATTCCACTTTTATCTCTACATTCAGCTCAAAGCCACCTTCTAGATGAAGATCTCTCCAAATTCTCAAGATAAAAACAATGAAAAACAGGGCCAGGGACATAGCTCAGTGGCACAGCACCTGCCCAGCAAGCACAAGGTCCTGAATTTAATTTCCAGTACCAAAAAAGGAAAAAAAAGAGGAAACAAATGATAAAAAAATACCCACCAGATTAAGATGTGGTATGTACACATACTCACTCCCTCAGATGAATCTATTCATTCTGCATCACAAATTTGTATTAACAAAACAAGAAAAGACACATCAGTCTCCTCTAGAGGCTCAGGCCAGAGATCAGTGGCTAACAAGTGTTCTGCTTCATTCCCTCCCTCCTTCCAGGGTAATACTTGTACCAAGATACCTCTCAGTACAAAGTGCTGGCTGAAAGTTGACAAAGTTATATTACAAGAGAAAGAGCACAGTAAAAAAAATTGCTTTTAGGAGTTGGGGATTTAGCTCAGCGGCACAGCGCCTGCCTGGCAAGCACAAGGTCGTGAGTTCGATTCCTGGTACTGGGGAAAAACAAACAAACAAACAAACAAAAAACAATTGCTCTTTCAAAAGATCTTAAAAGGGAAAATGAGCTGGGCCTGGCGGTGCATGCCTATAATCCCAGCACTTGGGAAGCTGAGGCAGGAGGATCACTGCAAGTTCAAGACAAGCCTGGGCTACAAAGTGAGCTCATGGTCAGCCTGAACTGCATAGTGAGACCCTGTCTCAAAAAAAAAAGAAAAAAAAAAAAATGGGGTTGGGGATTTAGCTCAGCAGCACAGCGCCTGCCTGGCAAGCGCAAGGTCATGAGTTTGATTCCCGGTACTGGGGGAAAAAAAAAAAAAAGACACCAACAACAAAAAAGGGAAACTGCCCCAGACTGGATGCCAGCCTTGGTGGGGGAAGGAGAGTTATGGTCAAGTGTGTGTGCACCCCAAGACTCACTTAGGAGAACAGTAGATGCCTAAGTGTGTGAGAGAAGAAGGTACAAGTATTTAGGGAGGTAGGATAGGGGACCCTAAGGGTAAACTGGGATACAGGTGGCACGAAGGCAGTGGAAGGAGGATCCGCTGACTAAAAAGTTCCCACTCCAACCACAGTAACCTCAACTCAGGTCTGAAGTTAAAACCAAACCCAGGGCCTGTCACCAAGGGGCATTCACTAGACCTGACAATCTCATCCAGTTCCCTAAGGACTGACGATGAAAGCCAGCTGGGCTGGCTGAAGGTGAAGTAGGGTCCCACAGTGGGCTTTCCTGGATCCATGGATGGAGGCAGAAAAAAGGCTCTGGGATGTTAAAGGCTGGACTCCAGTATTCCTGGCCTTCCAAAAGCTGTCTGGCTGGCAATAATGTGAAAATCAGACTGCCTCCTGACTACCTGATGGGGATGGGGTGTTGGCCCAGGACCAGGAAGTGGCCATGCACAGAGGGCAGAGACAGGGCATCTGGAGTCTGCATCCAAAGGAGCTCTGGCCAGAAAACCCAGGGGAAAGGTTAAGGAGAGAGAAGCCACAGTGGTTCCAGGATCAGCAGCCAAAGATCTCCCCAAAACTTGTCAAAATGCAAATTATCAGCCCCCCTCACCAGTCTTACTGAATCCAACAACTCGGGGGAGTGGGCCAGTCAGTCTGAGGTTTAACCAGCCTCCAGGTGCACTGAAGTTTGTGAACAACCACCGTACTGGCCTTGCAGACCATGCCTTGCTGCCTCCTCCCTCCCCAGCTGTCACCTTTCCTGCTTGGTAGAAAAACATCTGGTAACTACAATCCCTGTCTCCGGAGACAGACAACTTCTTAAAAGATCAAAGAGCACGAAGTCACAACGTAGGAGGTGAAAAGCAGCCCAGAGATGGTTTCTAAGAAGCTATGTTTGATCAGGTCACTGCAACAGCTAAATCCTTTCACCGGTTCCCCACTGAGCTAAGCTTACAAGGCCCTCCCAGACATTATTGTCCTGCTAGGGTTCTGCCCTAATCTGACCTCTCAATTCCAACCATATGAGACGTCACATGCAGTCCCCTAAAGTGTCAGGCTGTCCTCTCCAGCCACCTGTTGTTACCACCTGCCCCAGCCTTGATAACGGTCCTGCTTTCTGGGTGCCCTCCCTGACTATCCCTTTAACACTAGGCCCCATCACAACACCTATAATGGTACAGCAGCTGGGTCACGGCATTCATTGCTGACATTAACCCTGCAAGGGGTCCCGCTCCAGAGCCTGGCAAGGGAGAGCACAAAGAAGAGCCACAGGATATATCTGGTGAAGGAATGAAGCCAAGTTTTAAATACACTTGACATTCCAGCTACAAAACATGCTATGCCTAAGTATCTGAAACAGTCTTAATTGTAATTGAGAAAAAATATTTGTTACAGTTTTGAAAGCCATAAAAGACTTTTAAAAAGTAAGCAAATAGAACCACTAGCAATAGGAGAGAGAGGGAGATCTGCGGCTCTAAGAGATGGTCCTGGGTAACAATGGGGATGCAGGTACACCAGCTGCTCATCTCTCCAGAGATCTCTCCCAGCTTTCCAAAATCATTAATTCCAGGTTCTCCCAGTCAAGTGTGGGCCACACAAAAGACGGCCAGGAGATTCACAGATCAACCACAAGCCCACAGGCCCGGTGGTTCCTAGTTGTCATCCGGGTATAGCATCCTGGGTGCTTGGAGAGAAGATATTCTGGGACATCTGGGAGAAGGGCTAGGCCAAAAAATTAAAGGAAAGCATCCTCTTTCTCCTCCCTCCAGGAAAATAAAAAGATCTTTCCAAGCACTAGCTGGCAGGTAGGAGCCTGTCTCTTTCCAGTTGGGACATCCAACAGGACTCGATCAGACTGTCCCAGCCCTGGCCTACGCAAAAGTTTACCTTGGGGAAAAGAATGCAGGGAAGAACAAGAGAGCAGGAGCCTGACAACCAGACAACCCTGCCCTAAGGAGCGAGCTCTCCCACTGGGCCTCAGATTTAATCAAAACACTGCCTTCCACCAGAAGTAGACAGAACAAGTATTATTTTATGGGGGAAGGGAACACGTCTCTGGAGTGTGATGGGGAGCCCTGGCAGGGTCTGGCTGTAATTAACTGGCCTGCTTCAAAGGGTGGGGGTGGGGATCAAGATGGCCTGATAAATTAAGAAGGGGGTTGTCATAAAGTCCCCCTGTCCCTGGAAAGCTAGGGTTGGGACAAGGCCGGGAAGGAAAATGGGTCTCTTTTCTGCTGCCTGACAGGCGGACCTCCTGCAGCGCGCGGCAGGCGAAACAGCCTGGATCCGTCAGGACCGCTCTAGGGGATAGAGCATTTCAACCGGAAAAGCACGCGTGGGGGTTCCTGGTGTGGCTCCAGTACAAAAGCCTGCCCAGCTGGGAAACCCGGCAGGGAGGCTGGGCATTCAGAAGGATTTACATATACCCATTCTCAGAGTGCCAGTCCGGATCTGAAACCAAGCCATGAACTATCGCTCGAGTCCCTTCCCGGCTCTGGACCTCAGTTCCTATTCACATCGAGTGAGTGAGTGAGTGAGTGAGTGAGTGTGTGTGTGTGTGTGTGTGTGTGTGTGTGTGTGTGTGTAAGACAGGGTAAAAGCTCTTTCAAGCTAGCGACAGCCTCGGCTCTTTGACTTTACTTGGGAGCCGGAAGGGCTGGCTGGATCTCTCTTCCTTGGGCAAGGCTGGGCGGGGCGCTCACTCCAGCTCTGGGCTCGGAGAGGGGCGTTTTGGGAGCAGCAGCAAGACAGACGGTGCCAGAGCAACCATTTGGGGCAGTGCGTGTGGAAGGGGTCAAAACGTGGGTGCAGCGCAGGAGCCCTGACCCCTGGGTCCGAGGCCGAAGTTAATGTAAGGACTGGGAACACGACTGGTGCCTAGGTTTCCCCGCGCCCACAATGGTTCTGGAGCCTCGGGTGAGGATCAGAAGCAGCTTACCTTGTCCTTCTTGCCGGCCCCGCTCTCCTCCGCGGCCGAGGCGGCGCACTTGTTGAGCAGTTTCTTGCTTCCGCAGGCAGTCGGGCTCCAGGTGCGGCCGCCCGAACAGGACCCCCCTGGGGGGTCCCCAGTCCCGCCCACGGCGGCGCTCTCTACTTTGATGAGTCGGTGTTTTGGGGAGATGTAGCGCACTTCGGCAGGCGTGGCGGGCCGCCGCTCACTGCTGCTGCGGTAGAGGTGCGGGGAGCCGGAGGACGACGACGAGGACGCGGCAGCGCCGGCGCCGGAGGAGGCACAGCAGCAACCGGCGGCGCCCGACGCGGACGAGGCCGAGAAGGCGCGCTGGCCCCCTCCGGGCTCCCCGCCGCCGCCGCAGTAGTCCAGGCGGCACATGGCGCGCAGTTTGCGCAGCGACGAGCCGGGCCCGTTGTAGGGGTCCTCAAAGTCGCGCTCCTTCTGCGCGCGGTAGGCACGGATGAGGTCACTCGTGCTGCCGCTCTCGTCGGGCAGCGAGCCCGACGAGGCCGAGAAACAGGAGGCGGCCGCCGGACCGCAGGACGCCGAGGCGGCCTGCGGCACGGCCTGGGGGGGCTGCGAGGGCCGCTCACCCCGGCGCCGCTGCTCGCGGTAGTCGGGCCTCGGCGGCTGCGGGGGACTCTTAGTCTTGCTGTTGCCCAAGCTGAAGTATTTGTTCAGCCACTTGGCCATGGCGAGAGGCCGCCTAGGGCCGCGGCGCGGGAGCCCGGTCCGCCGCCGCGGCCATCCGGGGGCCAACGCTGCAACCCAGGTCCCTCGGCGCCCCGGCCCCGGCGGAGGGCGTCCGGGGCGCCCGCTCCGGACGCCAAGTTCAAGTTCTCGCCTTCGCCGCCGCCGCCTCCTGCCGGCCGCTCTCGGACCCCAGCAGCTGCAGCGCTGTTCTCCGCCTACGCCGCGCGCCGCCTGGGCTTCGGGTCTCGCGCCCCCCGCGAGCGCGTCTCATAGGGTCTCAGTCGGCGACCGCCTAGAGCACCGGGCCAGAGCAGCCGCCGCCGCGGACGCTCCGGCCGTGCGCCCCGCCGCGGAGCGCGCTCCTGCCTGCCCCGTCGGAGGGGCAGCCTCCGCCTCAGCCAGGACCCGCG